AAAAAAAAAAACAAACCAGAAAAAAATCCATCCAGCCCTTGGCTCTTAGCCAGCACAGTAAACATTGGCTTTTGCTTCTCACTCTTGAAATTCTTTCTTGAAATTTCTTGAGCAAGACCTTCCTGGACTTCCAGACTCTGTGGCCTATGGCTATGTCCCTGCCACCCCAGTCAAACCCTCCTCACTCACTTTGAATGATTTACTTCTGGCAAACTCCAGGAGGGCAGGGACCTTTTGTTGATTGGCCAGACAGGGCCCAGCACACAGTAGGTGCTCAGGAAATCCTTGAGTTATGAATGCACCCAGAGCCAAAATGCTGAAATGAACTAGGGAGTCATGGGCCTGCAGCTGGAAAAGCGCTAGGTCACCACTCACACCAGGCGCTGGCCGGTGCCATGGCCCTGCCCTGCGGTGGTGCTTGGGTTTGTGTTTTCTTTTCTTTTTTCTTTTTGAGATGGAGTCTTGCTCTGTCACCCAGGCTGGAGTGCAGTGGTGCCATCTCAGCTCACTGCAACCTCCACCTCCCAGGTTCAAGCAATTCTTCTGCCTCAGCCTCCCAAGTAGCTGTGCTTACAGGTGTGCACCACCACACCCAGCTAATTTTTGTATTTTTAGTAGAGATGGGTTTTCACCAAGTTGGCCAGGCTGGTCTTGAACTCCTGACCTTGTGATCCGTCTGCCTCGGCCTCCCAAAGTGCTGGGATGACGGGCGTGAGCCACCGCGCCCGGCCGGTACTTTGGTTTTTCAGCAACTCAGGGAAATGATGAAACAAACAAACAAAAACAACCCCAAGATCGTATCCCCACCTCGGGTTTTTTTCACGCTTCTAAATATACCCAACAACTTGGCAGGCACACCAGGTGACCCAGAACTTCCTTTTTGTGTTGCTTGAAATGACAGGAACAAGAATAAAGAATTTAAAAGTGAGAAACAGCAGCAGAGAGTGTGGCTTTAAAAATAGCCAGAGGGGACATTTGATGTTCTCTCCCCACTCCCGTCTCCCCCAACACACATCCATAAAGTGATTCCTTCCCCCTAAAACCTCACACTTTCTGGAAATCACAGTCCAGAGCAGTGAACAGTCATTTTAAAATAAGAATCCACCCATCTCCCTGCCCCAGCTGGTGTTTCCAACTCCAAGCCTTGGCTTTAGAATTCATGGGGTGATGAGGACCCCCCAACTAGAGGCGCCAGGCATTCCCTGCCCTAACCCCAGAGCAGGAGGTCATAATTAAGGCAGGCCAGGTGTGCGGTGACACCCTGTAATCCCAGCACTTTGGGAGACCCAGATGGGCAGATTGCTTGAGGTCAGGAGACCAGCCTGGCCAACATGGCAAAACCCCATCTCTCCTAAAAATACAAAAGTTAGCCAGGTGTGGTGTCGGGCGCTTGTAATCTCAGCTACGTGAGAGGCTGAGGCACGAGAATCGCTTGAACCCAGGAGGCAGAGGTTGCAGTACAGCCTGGGAGACAGAGCAAGACTCCAACTCAAAACAAACTTAAAATAAAATAAAGATAAAATAAGAATCCACCCCCCTCCCCGCCCCAGTTGGTGTTTCAAACCCCAAGCCTTGGCCCTGGAATTTGTGGGGTGATGAGGACGCCCCAGCCAGAGGTGCCAGGCATTTCCTGCCCCAACCCCAGAGCAGGAGGCCATAATTAAGGCAGGCCAGCCTTAATTATGTGGGCTTTTTTGGTCCTGGCCATGGATGAGCACATTCAGCACGCAGAAGGGAAAGGGTTTGTATGAGGCCCACAGAGGGAACAGGGAATGTGCAGGTCTGGGTTCAAGTCCTAGTTTTGCTGGATAGCCGCGTGCCCCTGGGCAAGTTTATTCCTCTGAGGCTCAGTTTTCCCATCTGTAAGATGGGCATAGAAGTGGTCACTATCAACCAGGCACGGTTGCTCACGCCTATAATCCCAGCACTTAGGGAGGCCGAGACAGGTGGGTCACCTGAGGCCAGGAGTTTGAAACCAGCCTGGCCAACATGGTGAAACCCCATCTCTATTAAGAACACAAAAGTTAGCTGGGCCTGGTGGTGGGTGCCTGTAGTCCCCGCTACTTGGGAGGCTGAGGCAGGAGAATCACTTGAACCTGGGATGTCGAGGTTGCGGTGAGCCAAGATCATGCCATTGCACTCCAGCCTGGGCAATAAGAGCCAAAATAAATAAATGAATAAATAAAAGTGGGGGGTTGGGAGGAAGGAGGAAAGGAAAGAGGACAAAGAGGGTCACAGCTGATCTGCCCCCTCCCCACCGTCCCATCTCTGCTAGCATCAGCCCCATCTTTTCAGGCTCAGGCCAAACCCCTCAGTGACCCCCCCAGTTCCTCCACAGTCACCCGTGAATCAGATCTCGCAGGAAGCCTTGTCAGCTCCACCTCCAGAACCGCTCCAGAATCTGAACTCTTCACCCACACTGCCCCCACCCTGCTGCAGCCCCTTTCCCCTCTCATCTGGACACCGTAGAGCCTCCTCCCTGGCCTCCCTGCCCCCATCCCTGCCCCCACAATCATATCCCATGAAGGGGATTTGACTCACTCACTTAACCAGCAATTCTGGAGGGTCTTCAAACCTGGCTGTGGCAGGGGATTTAAAGGATGGGGACCGGCACGGTGGCTCATGCTGGTTCCCCACTCGCAGCCAAAGGGAGCTGGTGAGTCAGATCAGGGCCCTGCACCTCACTCCAGGCACCAGCAAAGCCCTGACTTTTTTTTTTTTCTTGAGATGGAGTCTCACTCGTTGCCCAGGCTGGAGCGCAATCGCACCATTCCGCTCACCGCAACCTCCGCCTCCCAGGTTCAAGCGATTCTCCTGCCTCAGCCTCCTGAGTAGCTGGGATTACAGGTGTGCGCCACCACGCCCGGCCTTGGGGGTTTCTCCACGTTGGTCAGGTTGGTCTTGAAATCTTGACCTCAGGTGATCCACCCGACTCAGCCTCCCAAAATGCTGGGATTGGAGGCATAAGCCACCAAGCCAGGCCAGATGTTGCTCTATTTCTGGCTCCCACCTCGTCTCCCCATCCCTGGCTCACTCTGCTCTGGCCTCCTGCCGTTCCTAAAGCACTTCCTCCCCATCCCCCGCACCAGCCGTGGGATCTTTGCACCTGCAAGTCCCTGTGCCGCCCTGCCCCTCTCTCACACACCTGACACTGTCTCACCTCCTGCAGGTCTCTGTTCCTGCACCACCTTCCCAGGGACACTCTCCTGGCACTGACTGAAAAGTGCAACCTCACCCGCCCCCCATGCCGGCACTCCCCTCCCTCGGTGGCATTTTATTTTTCTCCGTGGCCCTTTCCTATCTTGTGACACACAATATATCCCACTTATTTGTCCCGTTCATGATCTGTCTCACCTACTGGGCTTTGAGCTCCACAGGGGTCGGGGTTTTTGTCTGATTCGTTCATTGCAGTGGTGATTTGGTCATTGCCTAAAATAGACCCTGGCAGGTACAAAGTGTTCATTAAATAGAAATCAATACCCGAGGGGCTGTGACCTGACTTAGATGCTAACAGGTTCCTCTGAGGCGTGCGGGGAGCAGACTGAGGTTCTCACCGCAAACCGCCCCCAATCAGCCCCAGACATGAACGGTCTCCTGGAGCTCCCTCTAGCCTTCCCTTGTATCCCAGCCCTACCTCATGTCACAGTTTGTAATGATGTGTTTGGCTGGGTGACATTTTTATGGCCATCTGTCTCCCTATCGCCCATAATGTGGTTTGCTGAAAGCAAAGCCCAGGGCTTCCTCGGTCATCTCTGTGTCTCCAGCATCACCCCTCACTGGGCATGGAGTACATGTCCAGTTAACGCCTGCTGAGTGAATGAATGAATACTCCATCCTCTGCTTGGAGAATTATGCTCTTTAGCATATTCAAGGCTCTGACAAGTCCTGAAGAAAAAATCCTTTTTCCTCCCTCCCTCCCTCCCTCCCTTCCTTCTCCTCCTTCCTTCCCTCCCTCCCTCCCTCTCTTTCTTTCTCTCTCTCCTTCTTTCCTTCCTTCTTCCTTCCCTTCTCCTCCTCATCATTGCTTTCTTGCTCTCTCTCTTTCCTTCCCTCCCTTCTTCCCTCCCTCCCTCCCTTCTTCCCTCCCTCCCTCCTTTCCTTCCCTCCCTCCCTTCCTTCCTCCTTTCTTTCTGACTATAGGATATCAATTAGCAATCTGGCAGTAGTCAAGGTTGGCAATCTGGTGTATTAGTCAAGGGTCTTCAGTCTATAAGAGACAAAAGTTAAAAACAAACTGGTTAAAAACAAAAGGGGACATGATGAGCTCACTTAACTCACAATCACAGAGGTTCTTTAAGCCTGGCTGCATCAAGGGGCTTTAAAATGTTATCAGATGGGGGCCAGGCGAGGTGGTTCACACCTGTAATCCCAGAAATTTGAGAGGCTGAGGCGGGTGGATCACCTGAGGTCAGGAGTTCGAGACCAGCCTGATCAACATGGAGAAACCCCTGTCTCTACTAAAAAGACAAAAAATTAGCCAGGCGTGGTGGCGGATGCCTGTAATCCCAGCTACTTTGGGAGGCTGTGGCAGGAGGATCGCTTCAACCCAGGATGCGGAGATTGCCGTGAGCCGAGATCGGGCCATTGCACTCCAGTCTGGACAGCAGTGAGACTCTGTCTCAAAAATAAATAAATAAATATAAAAATAAATACACGTTTTAAAAAATAGAAACCCCTCTGGAAGGAGAGTGAATCTGTTTGCTATAATAGCAATAATACTCCATATAGCTATGGTAAAGTTCATATGAAGAAACCAGGCTGCGATGTGCAGACTGGCAGTACCTGTGTTCTTCTATTTTTCCTACGCTGTCTCTGTGCACATAAAGTGAGAGGTCTTTTTGTATGAGTTAAGAGTGCGGCCAAAGACAAATGGAAAAAGACGGAATGACAAAAGTGCTAATAAACAGCTTCAGAAAATAAACAGCTCCACAAAAAATCAAATGATGAAATGTTATCAGGAATCTCTTGGGTCTCCTCCGTGTTAGCTTACTTTTTCCCTTAGAGGGTGAGCATGACCCTTGACAGATCCACCCTCATGTGCTGGATTCTCTTGGGAACTTGGTTAAACCTTTTTTTTTTTTCCTTCCCAAATGTCCAAGTCACCTTCCAGACCTGCAGCTCCTGAGCAGCTGGCTTAGGGTTCTAGTGGAGAGCGAAGGTCCCCTGGTTGCCTGAGTGTCCGGCCACTGCCCTGGGGCTGCTGTTCACTGGTCCAACCTGAGTCCTTGAGGCTGGCAGAGTGCCATGGCACACGCCTGTAGTCCCAGCATTTTAGGAGGCTGAGGCGGGAGGATCGCTTGAGCCCAGGAGTTTGAGACCAGCCTGGGCCACATGGCAAGACCCGCCTCTACAAAAAAAAAAAAAAAAACAAAAAAAAAAAATTAGCCAGGTGTGGTGGTGCAAGCCTGTGGTCCCAGCTACTTGGGAGGCTGAGGGGGGAGGATTGCTTGAGTCTGGGAGGTCAAAGCTGCAGTATGCCAAGATCACACCACTGCACTCCAGCCTGGGCAACAGAGTGAGACCCTGTCTTTAAAAAAATAAAATAAAAGGCCAGGCGTGGTGGCTTCCGCCTGTAATCTCAGCACTTTGAGAGGCCGAGGCAGGTGGATCGTGACGTCAGGAGTTGGACACCGGCCTGGCCAACATGGTGAAACCCCGTCTCTACTAAAGATACAAAAATTAGCTGGGTATGGTGGTGCGCTCCTGTAATCCCAGCTATTCGGGAGGCTGAGGCAGAAGAAACGCTTGAACCCAGGAGCCAAAGGTTGCAGTGAGCCAAGATCGTGCCATTGCACTCCAGCCTGGGCTACAGGGTGAGACTACGTCTCAAAAAAGACAAAAAAAAAGGCCTTGAGTCATGATTCCAGGTGCAATCACAGATGTGGGGGTTGCAGCCCTCTGACAGGCTGGGGTTCAGGTCTAAACCTTGGCTGCAGCACAGGCCAGGAGGGGCTCTGGTGGGAGAGGCTTGAAGGGAGCCTTGCTGTGGGACCCAGGCGCCCTGGGCCCTGTCACCCTGCAGTGCAGGTCAGCCCGGCGGACGCTCGGCTCACGGTCTTTGACAAGACAGAAGGGACGTGGCGGCTGCTGTGCTCCTCACGCTCCAACGCCAGGGTGGCCGGGCTCAGCTGCGAGGAGATGGGCTTCCTCAGGTACTGGGGGCACTTGGAGGGGTGGGAGCCGGGAGGGGCGGGGGAGCAGGCCTGACCCCTGCCCTGCCCAGGGCACTGGCCCACTCCGAGCTGGATGTGCGAACGGCGGGCGCCAACGGCACCTCGGGCTTCTTCTGCGTGGACGAGGGGAGGCTGCCCCACACCCAGAGGCTGCTGGAGGTCATCTCCGTGTGGTGAGGGGGGCAGCGGGCAGGCGGGGCAACACCCTGGGCCCCCAAGGCACTCCCTCTCCCCATTTTTCTTCCCTCCGTCTTAATTGGTCTCTTTCCTTTCTTTCTGTGTCTCCATCTCTGCCTCTCCCAGTGACTGTCCCAGGGGCCGTTTCTTGACCACCATCTGCCAAGGTGAGAACCCAAAACTCAGAACCCTCTCCTTTAAACCCTTGGGGAGGCCACGTCCCCTCAAGCGTCCAGGGTGGAGCCGTGTCCTTTCAGACCCCCTAGGTCAGGGCCAAGCCTGGGTTCTGGGGGCCTGGACTCCAGCCCCCTGTTGCCGCCCCGGCTGTCCCCCGTCCCACAGACTGTGGCCGCAGGAAGCTGCCGGTGGACCGCATCGTGGGAGGCCGGGACACCAGCCTGGGCCGGTGGCCGTGGCAAGTCAGTCTTCGCTATGATGGAGCACACCTCTGTGGGGGGTCCCTGCTCTCCGGGGACTGGGTGCTGACAGCTGCCCACTGCTTCCCAGAGTGAGTGCCCCCCACGGCGCTGAAGAAGGAGAGGCAGAGGAGTGGAGAGGTGGTGGGGAGGGGGGTGGATGGTGCCCAGGCAGGCCACTACCCTCCACCCCTTTCCCTGGTAGGCGGAACCGGGTCCTGTCCCGATGGCGAGTGTTTGCCGGTGCTGTGGCCCAGGCCTCTCCCCACGGCCTGCAGCTGGGGGTGCAGGCTGTGATCTACCACGGGGGCTATCTTCCCTTTCGGGACCCCAACAGCGAAGAGAACAGCAACGACATTGCCCTGGTCCACCTCTCCAGTCCCCTGCCCCTCACGGGTAAGTCTGAGGCCAGGAGGACAGAGGAGGGGACCAGGAGCACAGGGGAATCAACTTACGGTTCGGTCATCCCTGGCAATAGTGGGGAATGATCTTGAGGGAGCAACAGTGCGCCTTAACTATCAATGATCAGTGCAGCCAGTCGGGAAAACTGGCCGGCATTTCCCCAAGAAGCAAACATCAGGTTACCAATGGACTCAACACTTCCACTCCTAGGGTCGGGGGTAACTAACATACCCCAGACAGATGAAAAGTGCGTACGCACCAAAGCTCGTATGTCAGTGTTCATAGCAGCATTTTTCATAAGGGCCCAAAGATGGAAGCAGCCCAAGTGTGTTCCATCGGACAAATGGATTAAGAAAATGTGGGATATTGGCCGGGTGCGGTGGCTCACGCCTGTAATCCTCGAACTTTGGGAGACCGAGGCTGGGGGTCCTCTTACCGCCATGGTTAAGAACATGGCGAGGCACAGTGGCTCACACCTGTAATACCAGTGCTTTGGGAGGCTGAGGCAGGAGGATTGCTTGAGCCTAGGAGGTCGAGGCTGCAGTGAACCATGTTCCTGCCACTGCACTCTGGCCTGGGTGACACTGCAGGCTTGGAAAGGGAAACAAGCTGTATTAAACAGACTTGTTTGAAACTTTGGGCATGTGACTTGACCTCTTTTTTTTTGAAACGGAGTTTCATTCTTGTTACCCAGGCTGGTGTGCAATGGCGCGATCTCGGCTCACCACAACCTCCGCCTCCTGGGTTCAGGCAATTCTCCTGCCTCAGCCTCCTGAGTAGCTGGGATTACAGGCACGCGCCACCAAGCCCAGCCAATGTTTTGTATTTTTAGTAGAGACGGGGTTTCACCATGTTGACCAGGATGGTCTCGATCTCTTGACCTCGTGATCCACCCGCCTCGGCCTCCCAAAGTGCTAGGATTATAGGCGTGAGCCACCGTGCCTGGCCATGACTTGACCTGTTTTTCCCCCTCTGTAAAATGGGATAATATAGACCTTACCTCTCTGGGCTGATGGAATATTAAAGAAAATGGTGCAGGAAAGTGCCTAGCACGCAGTGAGCTCTTGGTAGATGGAGACTTCTGCTGTGGTGTTTTGTTGGTGGTGGTGGTGGTTTTTTTTTTTTTTTTTTTTTTTTTTTTAAGACACAGTCTCGCTCTGTTGCCCAGACTGGAATGCAATTGCACCATCTCAGCTCACTGTAACCTCCACCTGTTGGGTTCAAGCGATTCTCCTGCCTCAGCCTCCCAAGTAGCTGGGATTACAGGTGCATGCCACTGTGCCCAGCTAAATTTTGTAATTTTAGTAGAGACGGGGTTTCACCATGTTGGCCAGGCTGGTCTCAAACTCCTGACCTCAAGTGATCCTCCCGTCTCAGCCTCCTATAATCCTGCTGGAATTACAGGCGTGAGCCACCGTGCACGGCCTGTTGAGGTTGTTTTAAAAGGACAGAGGGCGGGTGTGTTGGGGCCGTGGCAGCAGCTGGACAGAGGTTGGTACAGGGTGGGGCAGGCCAGCAGGGACTGGACCTGCATGGTCTCTCTCACAGAATACATCCAGCCTGTGTGCCTCCCAGCTGCTGGCCAGGCCCTGGTGGATGGCAAGATCTGCACTGTGACGGGCTGGGGCAACACGCAGTACTACGGTGAGTCCTGTCCTCTGCCTCTGATGCCGCCGTTTGGGAGACTGAACTGGGCTGGGGACAGGCAGTCTGGCTGGTTGGATGAGTCTTGACCATGAGGAGTAGGGACGCTGAGGCGCATGGGGGGGCACCAGGAGGGAAGAGGGTGTGCACACTCCCCAGTTCTGGCTAGCCTTGCCCGCACGCCCCCAGGCCAACAGGCCGGGGTACTCCAGGAGGCTCGAGTCCCCATCATCAGCAATGATGTCTGCAACGGGGCTGACTTCTATGGAAACCAGATCAAGCCCAAGATGTTCTGTGCTGGCTACCCGGAGGGTGGCATTGATGCCTGCCAGGTGAGAGACTGTATGGGGGCAGCCCCCCCACCACTGCCACCCCAGGGATGGAGATGCAGGGGAGTGGGTGGTCGGGCTCCCTATGTAAAAGCCTGAGGGCTCTGGAGCCACCACCCACGGTCATCCCAGGGGGCCTCCTGGCCGGCCACCTTGGCCTCCAGCCAGGCCTCCCCGTCCCCTCCCAGGGCGACAGTGGTGGTCCCTTTGTGTGTGAGGACAGCATCTCTCGGACACCACGTTGGCGGCTGTGTGGCATCGTGAGCTGGGGCACTGGCTGCGCCCTGGCCCAGAAGCCAGGCGTCTATACCAAAGTCAGTGACTTCCGGGAGTGGATCTTCCAGGCCATAAAGGTGAAAGTTGGGCCCAGATGGGAGCCAGGGTGGGGATGTTTGGGCCTCTAACCAGGGAAGGGAGGCAGAGATCTGTTTTAGGAGACCTACGCTTAGGCCTAGAAGAGGGGCCCCCTGGGGAGCAGATGGACTTCAAAGGGCTCCTGGGGAGGGGAGGCCAGTGGTGGGACGTGGAAGCCTCTCAGACCTCGGGAGCCCCCATCTGTCTTTCCCCAGACTCACTCCGAAGCCGGCGGCATGGTGACCCAGCTCTGACTGGTGGCTTCTCGCTGCGCAGCCTCCAGTGCCCGAGGTGATCTCAGTGGTGGGATCCACGCTGGGCCTAGGATGGGACGTTTTTCTTCTTGGAACCTGTCCCCAGGTCCAAGGATACCCTCCCTCCAGGGTCCTTTCTTCCACAGTAGCGGGCCCACTCAGCCCTGAGACCACCCAACCTCACCCTCCTGACCCCCATGTAAATATTGTTCTGCTGGCTGGGACTCCTGTCTAGGTGCCCCTGATGACAGGATGCTCTTTAAATAATAAAGATGGTTTTGATTAATGCGGCCTCCGAGCTTACAAACGTACACAGCAATCTGGACATTTTGTGGGGAGGGAGGGGAAGAATTAGGACCTGGAGCAAATTGGGCAGAGTGCGTGGGTCCCTCAGTTCTCACTGACTTTAGAAATAAGATTTTGGCCAGGCGCGGTGGCTCACCCCTGTAATCCCAGC